GGGAAGGGGAAGGAATGGGGAGATGATATCAGAAACTCAGGTTGGAAAAGAATGCTTTGAAAATGACGATGGTGGCATAGGTGCAAATGTGCTTGACACACTGGATGAATGTATGGATTGTGATAAGAAATGTAAGAGCCCCCCAAAAAAGTCATTAAAAAAAACTGATTGGGCTTCCAAGGAGAGGCCTGGAGTCCTGAGGATGCTCCGCCAAGAGCTTTGCTTGGCGTCAGGGCAATAACATAAACCACGGGATAGACTGGACCGGGGTCCTGGTGGCTGCAGTAGACTGAGAGGACCGGGGAGTTTTACCCCTTTCCAGCCACCTCTCCCAGAGGGTGGGGTTGTGAAACTCTATCATGCATGAAAGGTAGCAGGTGCAGTGCCTGACACTCCTTGGAACTCAATAAAGGATCGCTACAAGTAATGATACTGAAAGCAATCGTGCAAGACTTCCTTTCCTCTGTCTTGCTGTTCCAGCTTCCTTTTGTCTTTGTTACTATTGCAGTGGATGCCACGAAGAAGAAAGCTACTCGACATAATTGTGGGGTCAATAGAGAGTAATGTCTGTCAACTAAGATCTCTTAGACTTACAGGAAACATGGCGCTGTTGAGAGGGGTCGTCAAATCCATTCTGACTCATAATGACCCTGTGTACCATAATGTAATCCGCCCTTAACCCAACTCAACACTCGGATACCTTACTAGTTAGAAGAACAGGAGGAATGTCCAGGGAAGCACAGCATTTGCAAGTAAGAAAAACAGCGAGATAAGAAAATAAAATGGTAATGAGCTGATAAGGAGCATCCTCATCCACGGGCTGTTTTCATTAGGGCTTATGTTCAACACCTGAACCAAACTCACCCCCATGGAGCGGGTTCTGACTCCTCACAGCAAACCAGCAGGACAGGGTAGAACTGCCCCCATGGGTTTCCAATACCGTTAACTCTCTACAGTAGAAAGCCGCATCTTTCTTCCCAGAATTACATTTACGGGGATGAGTTTTGCCCCTATTCTCCCTTCCAGGCTTGGCCTCCCAGTAGGTTTCTTTCCATCAGGGTCCAGTCAGAAAACCAGACCTCAGTAGGTATTTGCAAAAGAGATCATTTAACATCACAAAGTGATCCACAGGGTTGGAGGGCTGAAAGATACAAAAAGAGAATGTGGAATCACAGGTATCGGTGTAAGAAAACTCTCCCCCGTGGGCTGAAGGGGAAAGGGGAGACGTGGCTGGCTAGGGCTCTCAGAGCACAGCCTCGAGGGGAAGGCCCTGCCCAGCTATGCTCGTTCCTCAAGGGCACACGGAGGTCACTTCTGAAAGTCTCAAAGAGCCAGGAGTGACCATCAGGTTGGTGTTACCAGAAATGGGATACAAACAGGAAGGAACCAAGCCCTCTCCGTCCTCCAGGCCTGTGGTTTCCCACAAAGGAAAACAAAGCCAAATTCTCGCTTTTTGACTCTGTGCTCCTTCTGTTCGGACACCTATCACACACATAGCCACCTAACCACCTAGACGCAAGGTCAGCGCTCAGAAGTCAAAGGGCACCGCCTCCCAGACCGTTGAGTTTGCACAAGATCCTAGACACCAACCAGCCTCAAGTTTGAGCTCCCATCAGGTCTGGCCTGCAGGGGACAGATTTGGGGTTTTCCCACCATCCTTCCAGGATGCCTGCTACAAGCTCAGTGGTCCCAGCCCCTCGCCTCTGGCCTGGGGGCTCCCAGTAATCTCTTCACTTCATCAATTTATAGGCCAACCAACAGAACCCACAGAAAGCACTGTATTTAGGATGACCACTTTATGATTGCAACAAAGGGGGTGGGCTTACCAATTAGGAGCAGCAAAAAGCAGAAACACATGGGTAAGACCGGGAAGAGCTCCCCAGGAGGGGCTGCCACCCCCGAGAAGGGCCGCCCCACCCTCGCGGTGCAGCCACACCTTTCACAGACCAAGGCACCATGATGCTTCCAGGGCAGGTGTTCCTGGGACTGGATTACATAATCATGATGGGGTGACTTAGGCCACCTGCCCCGCGGCCAGCTGACATCACCATGTGACCACAAGATGGAGGTCACAGGTGTGTTTCTGGCCCTACGCAGGAGCCACCTATTAGAATAACATCTTAGGTATTGTCTAAAGCCCTCATCGAAGATACTCACCATTACGATTTGTGGAGAAATCGCAAGGTCTTAGAAATCCTCTCAGGTACCAAGAACAAGAACCAAGTTCTTTAGGCAAAGTTTGTTTTAACCTCCACACGCCCCATGGGCTAGTCCGACAGGGAACCGGGTGGCAAAGCAGTATGTGGTTTGCAGAGCCCCAGCCCCAAAAGAGGATGGAACTATGGAGGAGTTGTAGGGCGGAAGACAACAGGTTGGCTCCAGACTCACGGGCATTTTAGATAGAGAAACTTCATCAGTGTTTAAGGCCTAACGCACATGCGTTCACATCCTAACTCACAATCAATGAATTTGTTTCCAAGTACCTGAACTAGGGATCACAGACGTGGCAGGGCAGTTAAGGGTCAGCCTGACCTCACCCAGAGCCGGGCTCACACCGGCATTTTTCTTGCACCTACAAGAAGCTTGCTAAGAGACGCTCTATGGGGGTCCTCATGGTTCTTACCTATGAAAAACGGGCTCCTTTAAAGCCATGTGCAGGCTCGCTTAAAACAATAAGCTGTTCTAACCCCTCGAGCACAACAGACTCCGGGAGCATGGTCTGGCTGCGTATCAAACAAGTTCCTGGGCTGGTCTCTGAAGTTTCTAGGCAAGTACAAACAGCCGAGTCAAATAAAGGCTTGTTAAAAGCAAGGCCATGGAGCACGTACCCTGTCAGGGAGATCCTCATAGTCACACAGAGTAAACAGTAACATGAGAATATTTATACTAAACAAGACTGTATATCAAGCCTGCCCTGGCTCAGCCAGAGGGAAGGATAAATTCCTTGCAGATCTCTCATAGAGTGGTCCTTTGTCGACCACGGACGCCACTTCCAAGACAGTACAAACCATCCACAAAGCAAGACTTTTCATTATATCAAAGAAGGAAAGCAAGACCCCCCCGATTTTGTTTTCTTTTACAGTTCTACTTCACCTAACTCCCCCAGCCACCCTGATCTTGCAGGCGCTTTAATTTAGTGTGATTGAAGCCCAAGTTTAAGCCAGAAACAAGAAAGAGCGAGCCGTCTCCCTTGTAAGAAGCTGGGGAAAGCAAAGCACTGAAGAAGAGATAAAATGCCAGATCCATTTGTCCAGATCGGCCCTGTCCTCTGCACAACCGGCATAAGTTATGAGCAAAATGACCAAGCAGGAGACGGAAGTTGAATGAGCTATGAAGCCACACGCACACATTGTCCACTTCATGGGCAGGTCGGGGGTGGGGAACACACACATAAAAACAGCTACTGAAAGCGCGTTTGCACAAACTGCCGGGCTGCCTCCAAGAGACCAAGATGAGACAAGGTTACTATGACACAGGGTATTTGTGACTTTGTTTTGCCAGAGTCTCTCCTGGTTTTATATTTTGTGCTTAAAGTCCAATCTTGTCGGACGATGGTGGTATTCGTTTGTAACTCACCGTCCTGCTTCTTCTCCACCACAGCCCCTGCACAGAAAGAGATAGTGGTGCTGTATCCACTCACTTGAAAATCTTCAGCAACGTACAGCTGGTTCCGAAAGATCTTATAAAGAACCACAGTGGAGCAAAGTTAAAGGACGGAAAATCTGAAGGAAAGGGATACTAGAAAATGAGAGAGAAGAAAGTGTGATTGTGTCGGCATTTGAAAAACTATAACCACAAAAGGGTAAATCTGTATCTTAAACAGAGAGAGCAGGGCGGCCCTTCTCGGGGGTGGCAGCCCCTCCTGGGGAGCTCTTCCCGGCCTTACCCATGTGCTTCTGCTTTGTGCTGCTCCTAAGTGGTAAACCCACCCCCTTTGTTGCAATCATAGATTGAAGTCCAAATTCAATCGGTTCTACTTTAAACCCCATAAGTAAACCTCATTGTGCTGGAGTCCATCCGGGTAGATTACGGGGGGCCGAGGGGGTCTTATCTGTCTATAAGCATAGATATTAGATATTTGAAATTATAGCTATTAGAAATTTTCCAACCTTCTATTTAGAACTAAGGATTGGGATTCTTTTATTCAGGCGTTTGCTGTTAAATAAGCCTTGCTCAAAGCCAGGTGTCTGGGAAATGGTGCTGTAAACAGGAAGAGGTTAGTTCAGGTAACTAGCAAATGAACCAACGCCGCTAAATGACTCAGTGGCAGCATCTGGTGCTCAGACCTGAAGCAAAGGGCTGGAACGGATCTGGAAAGAGTACTAACAATACTTCTCATCTTGATGCTACAGTCTGCAAAGAACTCCCATTTGATCCTCCAGAAAAGAGCCTTCAGTCAGGATGGAAACTATTCTCCTTGTTTCTAAATAATGGAACTATGGTTCCATGGAAGGATAGTAGTGGAGCAAGGATCAGAACTGAAGCCCTTAGAGGCTTCAACGGATGGTCCAGGGCCCTATCTAGATCCACGGTCCGTCCACATGGTCTCCAGCAGACCAAGGGCAGGAAGGACTATATGCTACTTCTCCTTGCCTCCTGCAAACTCAGAAACTGGCCCTCGGGTCTAATAACAGTGTGTTTTTCGCTCTTCACCACCGGAACTAAAATCCCTTAGGTTAGAAAACAATATCTAGTCCATCGTGTTTCCATTTTTGTTGTACTTACATTGTCGACAAAAAGACAACCACCACAAAACCACAATTCTGGAACAAAATAAATACAGTTAGATTCAAGAGCCTGATGTAAATAAAAAGTCTAGCATATATCACTAGAGCTTATAAAGAGACTGTGCGCTAGTGTGAATTTATTTTAAGGAATTAAAGACAAGGATATCTATGGGAGAAGGCATTTTCCTTGCTTTATGGATAGAAAGCACCATGTACTAAAGCAATACGAATACTAAGAGTGTACACACCACCACCGGCATTATTAAGAACCTTCTTTAAATTGACAAAGAGGCTACACATTTTTCCCTCACCCCAATAAAATGCCTCCCAGAGGGGTGATAGGTACCTCTCCTCTCTCTGCTCAAAAATAAGAGATTCCCTCCGCATTCACATTTCCCACTTATGTTCAAAAAGCATAAACATAAGGTGCTGGAATTATGCCCCAAGCCACCATTCTAGTTCTCAGTATGAACTTAGACAAATGGGACAAATCTGGCTTTGGGCGCTATCGCCAGAATGAACAGTAGGCCATCCTAAAACTGGCAAAGCAAGAAAGGCCAAGTGTGCTTGAAATGGGGGGGGGGGGTTATTTGATCTTTTTCTCCACCTCGAAATCACTTGGTACTTGATTTTCAATAATTCACAATTTAAAAGAAAGAGTATGCAAAGGAAAAAAAAAGAGTTGATACAGAATTTGGGACTAGTGAGCCCTTAAAACCAAATAAATCAAATCCACTTTTAGTTATAGTCACAATAATTGAAAGCTATTTTACCCAACGGATTCTGGAGGTCTTCTAATACATGCAAGTTACCAGCACCTGATACACAGCAGGTGTGCACAGATTTAGCGACGACTAGAAAGATCAGAGACCATTTGGATAATCTATAAGTACTTGCTGTTAACCAGAAAATGTTTCCAATTTTCCAGTCAACAACCACAACCAAGATCTTTGTATCTGCCCCTCTGCTTCATTGCACTGAAATAAAATTTTGTAATGACTGATAGTTTTCTTTAAAATTTCAATGAAGCCTTAGGTTGGATTACATGAACACACCTCCCCGTTTCTTCCAGAATTCCCCAATGCCTCCTTTTATGGCATATTCGGCACAGCTCTTGCACTCTTGGGGGGTAAATCCAACTAACGCTCCACCAATGGTAGCAATTCCCCAGTCACTTGCCAACTTTTTAATCTGCGCTTCTATATAAGGAGGAGACATATACGAAAAACGGTTCCCAAGGACATGGTAAGCCAGGTACTGAAAGTCTTCTGTCGTTTCTCCAGCTTCTTGGTCTTCAAAACTCTCTACGTTGCAAGCAATTTCAATGTTCCCATCATGGGGAAAAGCCATTGCTTGAACGCCCTTCAACCCGTTTGCACTTGAGCCTCGAATGCCACTCGCAATCTCTTTTCCTGCAGTCAAGTCCCGAGAGTCAATGGTGACGTTGCAGTTCATCACGTAAGGGCTGGCGCCAACACCTACAGCATCAGAAAAAAGTGTGTCAGCCAAGCCGTGAAAATGGCTCATTTTGAAGGTTTTACTATTCAATCAAAGAGTCTCCTTTACTTCGTTTTACTTCAAAAAGAACAAATTCAGAGTGGTCAGTCATTCAGATTCACTCCACTGCCTTCGAGTTGATTCTGGCTCCACGTGAACCGCTAAGACAGGGTAGAACTAGCTGTCCCGTGGGTTTCTGAGACTGAAACTCTGCAGAAGAAACGCTTTCCCTCGGGCAGCGCTTGGTTTCAAGGTTGACTGTGACTAGCAGCCCAGTGCCTCGCCACTGTGTTTGCCATTAGGGAAGCTAAGCCAAAATCACCAGGGGCTCTCGCTTCACTCTCCGCGGTAAGGGGGAGGAGGAATAGGAACCCGGTGCATTGCTGGGGACACACAGAATGCTGCTGTCCCTAGAACGCAGGCAGGCCTCCCAAAGTTACACAAAGAACTACTTGAGCCAGGAGACTCATGGAAAAACTCCACGACCTTTCAGTTCCATTTTTCTGTGAACTTTTTGAAGCCCCCTCATGCACCCAAGAAACTTAAAAGAGCAGGGACACAAAAATGTACATTGTACATCAATGGCTACTGCAGCAGGATCCACAATAGACAGATGGTGGAAACAAGTATCCATCAACAGATAAATGGATGGAGAAAAGGTGGCATCTACTTACAGTGGAGTATTTTTCAGCAACAAAGAACACTAAATTCTGATACATGCTACAGCATAGATTAACCTTGAAAACATGCTGAGTGAAGTGGGTCAGATAAAAAAGGGTAAATACTGTTATGCTCCCACTTACATAAAGTATCAGGAATATGCAAGCGCATAGAGACAAACAAGTGTGTGTGGTTGAATGGAGTGCGAGTTATTGCTGAAGGAGGACTGGGTTTCTGTTTAGAGGGTTGAAAAACTTTTGGGAAAAGACAGTGGTAATGCTTACACAACAAGATGAATGCAATTAATGCCACTAAAGAGTGGTTAAAATGCTCAAACTTTTTGTTAAAGCTATTTCACGCCAATGTTTTCTTAATGCAAATATTTATCTTTTTAAAATTTTTCTAAAAATATTAGAAAATTTTCTAATTTTAGAAACTAATAGAGCTGAGTACGCAACAAATCACTTTATTTACTCTGAAAATATCCATATCCAGTAGGCATTCCTTTCTAGGCCAGTATGGAAGAGTCCAGACTTGGCGAGCAGAGACAGCAGAGCGCACTTAAGAAGGTGAGCGCCACAGCAGCTCGGGGCCTGGGCCTGGGCCTGGGCCTAAGCCTGTCCTGCAGCGCCAGGGCCAGCACTGCAGAAACTGGGGCTCCGTGCCACGCCGAGATGGCAGAGGCTGCTCATTGCACTCAACACAAACACCCACCAATATGCAGTTGGGTGACAATAGGTTACACGGAGCATCCACATCAAACACCTGTGGAACTGGGAAGGGCAAAGGGACACCTGGCTCTCTCCTATTGAGGTGGGTCTACGGGTCTGAGGTGCTTCGTAGGGATAAACCACCACCCCCCCTTCTTTTATGCAACTTGCGGGGGCGCCTCTTTCTTCCATGTTCAGCTTCCAAAGCTTCCTCTGGACCACCACTAACCCCCTGGAGCCTGAGCGCCCCAGAGCTCCGGAGTTAGGCCCTGTCTTTCCCTGCCTCTGGGATGGCGCAGCTCGTGTAACCCAACCAGCACTGCTCTAATTATAGTTTATACGATGGGCAACTTGGTGAAATTAGCAGTGGTAAAAAGAAAAAGCTTAGGTTTGCAATTTCCTTATTTTGGGGGGCCCTTGGGTGGGGCTTTCTACTCCCATAAAGAATTAGTCTCAGAAACTCGCTAGAAGCCGGCATGGACTCGGCAGTGAGTCGGGTGTTTCCATTCTTAAGAGCAAAGTTGACTGCGGTTCTTGCGGGATAAAGGACCGTGCTTGTCTTCAGCACCTAACAATGCCCTGGCTTCTCTTTCAACACGGTTGGACTATCATTGCCTTGCTAGTCCTCTCGCTACTTCCAAGCGTACGGCTCACGTTGCCAGTGCCCACCAGAGCAAGTGCCTTTTGGTGGGTTCACGTCCCTCGGGATCACTGTGGTTGGGGGGCTTGGTTCCCAAGCCTGGCTACTCTCATGCTAATAGACGTTTCACAGAAAATCAGTACATGGAAACCACATTTCATCATTTCCCCCACACATGCACATAATGAAACATTTCAACTCTCGAGGTTGGGCCTCTTCCTACTGGGAATTCTGCAGGAATGAATCAGATTACAGTATTTCTCCATAATGCTGATATCATAAAAATTAAATCTCCTAACAGTCAATACATCTCTCTGCCATCATCTCATGTACCAGTCCCTTACTCTAGATAGCTCTGGGCAGTAGACCATTTCACAGAGGACAACTGCATCTTTGGGGTCAATGCTAATGGCTTCATTTGTTAGTGGAAAACAACCAAGGATGGGTTCTCTCTCCTCCACCCTGCTTTACCAGGTAATGGGACAAGCAGTCCCACTGCCTAGAAGTCTGATTCTCACAGGCTACTCTTCTCTGACTCCAGAAGTGGCAACGTCTTTATCATCGATCCAACAAAATAGCTGAAAACTACAGACACACAGGGTTATGGTCAGCTCTGCTATTCAAAATACCTATCAGGTCTCGTAGGCCTTGTTAATCCATAATTTTGATGTGCTCACTGAGCGTTAGATAATCACATGTAATTTATCAGTTTGAAGGAGCAGGTCACTTTCAACGGAAGTCCCTCCGTGTGCTCCCAGCATCCCTGCCCCTACTCCCACAAGTAGGGCACTTCGGCCCTAAATGGGCACCTAACCCGCTGCCATCGAGTCGATTCTGACTCACAGTGACCCTCTATAGGGTTCCCGAGACTGTCCACCTTTATAGAAGCCGACAGCCTCATCTTTCTTCAGGAGAGCAGCTGGTGGGTTTGAGCCTCCACCCTTAAGGTCAGCAGTCCAGTGCCTTCCACAGGGCTTCCCAGGCTCTTCTGGAGTGTCCCACCTAGCATGTTCCAAGACATCTGTTACTCTCACATACCCAGTAAATTTCCCCCCCTTTTAGTATATGTTTCAAAATTGATCATTCCTGATAATAAATGAACTCATTGCCTAAGAAAAATCAGTAAAGGTAAAATAGCTGAGCTGTTAAACCCCGAGGACAGGAGTGCCGCGAGGAACTGACATGTCCCAACACTAGGAAATTAAGAGACCCTATTTTCAGACCTTAAAAATCATACTTCAAAGTAATCATTTCTCAGAAAAATAAAACTAAAAGGCAGGAATAACTTTTTTTCCTACTCTTTAAAATACAATACGAGGTAACCACTTTAAAAAAAAGAAAGAAAGGACAGAAACCATCCGCTTTTCATTTATGCCCTTAGCTTTAGGTAGGTGTTTCAAATTCCTCCATTGAACTTGACCCTCTGGTTTTATTTTGTTGTGTTGCTATATTTTGTTCAAGCAGCACATAAACAGAGACAGCTAATGAAACTGAAAAGTTTCCAGCCTGATCAGGGTAGTAACTACCACCTCCCTGAGAGGTGATGAGGCCATCACCCATTTCTATCTTCAGAATGGAAAGAAAAGCAAACCGCTTTCTCTGTCAAAATTCATGATTTTCCAATTTCCTCCATTTGATCTTTCCGAGTCCAGCACCAGTCTGAGGATCTAACTGCAATGGACCAAATTCTACATTCAAAGCCAGCAGTCCCTTTGACAACATTCAAGTTGAATTTTATTTTTATGCTAATTTCAACCTACTAAGGATTTTTAAATAAGAGATAATTAATCCTGGCAAATTGTACTTCTAGCTAAATGCCATATAATTAAAGTAATTCCTTTTTTTTTTTTCGTTTTGCTCTAAGATTAGAAACCTGATGTGAAAGTTTGTTTCTCAGTTTGTGATTTCGCTCCGCTCCTGCCTCCTGCAGATTGGCACTTGGCGCCCCTTACTGCAGGGCTGGAATTCCAAGTTTATTCCAACACAACTGTCACAACGCCCTGAAGCAAGCGGAGAACGGGGAGGGCGTGCGGGGGAGAGCTTTGGTAGGATTTCACTCTCCATGTGTTCTTGAATGAAAATTTTACCATCCTAAATATTGGTGTTTATTCTTCATTAAATACTTTTTTTTAATCCAAAAGAAAAAGAAACTGAGACTTAGTTGCTATTATTTCACAGGGAAATATCACAGGCCTGATGTTCCCCTAACAATTCTGTTCTATTTCTTGTGTGGCAGCGCTGGATTTATCATGTACTGCGCGGCTGGTGATTCAGGGGCTGCAGAGACCTTATGGTGAACTGATAGAGATGTAAACTCTTTATGCCAGATTGTTTCAGCAGAAAAAAACCAAATGCACTTAATTAACATCTGATGTGTAGCTTTTGCAAACACAAATGCAATATTTGTGTTTGAGCACTGGCAGTAATGACTGTGAACTATGCTATTAATGTCTGGTTTAAAGATGCTTGTGGTAGGGCTGTGTCTGGAAGAACACAAATAAAAAGCTGCATTCAGACACAACAATAGTGAAGAGCCCATTAGGAAAATGAAAAAGCAGCTCTCGGAGGAAAGCAGTCCCCCCTTTAGATCTAAATTATCCTCAAAAAATAGTCCCAGGCACCATCGTTTTCAATAATCAAAGGTGAAAAGATTCTATGTATTTTTCTCTGCGGAGAGTTTCATCTGGCAGGGTCAGCACATGCGTACGGTCGGCTTTAGAAGTCCTACATATCATGTTATGTTCCTCTGCTGTGGCTGGCATTAAAACAGAGAGCAGCTCAGGTGGCGTTTTAGGATAGTTAGTGGACTTTTCTTTCATTCCTCTCTCTCTCTCTCTGTCTCTCTCATATGCCTAAAGAGAGAGCTTCAAATCTATGGACATCACAGTTTGGAGAAATCGCTTCTCACTAACCAACGTGTAACTCTCTCATCAAATATTTTCTTACTGAAAACCTGCTGAGGACCAAAGGA